GCTGTGCTCCCCATACTGTCCTGTCTTTAGCCAGCCAGACAACGTTAGCGCTGTGCTCCCCATACTGTCCTGTCTTTAGCCAGCCAGACAACGTTAGCGCTGTGCTCCCCATACTGTCCTGTCTTTAGCCAGCCAGACAACGTTAGCGCTGTGCTCCCCATACTGTCCTGTCTTTAGCCAGCCAGACAACGTTAGCGCTGTGCTCCCCATACTGTCCTGTCTTTAGCCAGCCAGACAACGTTAGCGCTGTGCTCCCCATACTGTCCTGTCTTTAGCCAGCCAGACAACGTTAGCGCTGTGCTCCCCATACTGTCCTGTCTTTAGCCAGCCAGACAACGTTAGCGCTGTGCTCCCCATACTGTCCTGTCTTTAGCCAGCCAGACAACGTTAGCGCTGTGCTCCCCATACTGTCCTGTCTTTAGCCAGCCAGACAACGTTAGCGCTGTGCTCCCCATACTGTCCTGTCTTTAGCCAGCCAGACAACGTTAGCGCTGTGCTCCCCATACTGTCCTGTCTTTAGCCAGCCAGACAACGTTAGCGCTGTGCTCCCCATACTGTCCTGTCTTTAGCCAGCCAGACAACGTTAGCGCTGTGCTCCCCATACTGTCCTGTCTTTAGCCAGCCAGACAACGTTAGCGCTGTGCTCCCCATACTGTCCTGTCTTTAGCCAGCCAGACAACGTTAGCGCTGTGCTCCCCATACTGTCCTGTCTTTAGCCAGCCAGACAACGTTAGCGCTGTGCTCCCCATACTGTCCTGTCTTTAGCCAGCCAGACAACGTTAGCGCTGTGCTCCCCATACTGTCCTGTCTTTAGCCAGCCAGACAACGTTAGCGCTGTGCTCCCCATACTGTCCTGTCTTTAGCCAGCCAGACAACGTTAGCGCTGTGCTCCCCATACTGTCCTGTCTTTAGCCAGCCAGACAACGTTAGCGCTGTGCTCCCCATACTGTCCTGTCTTTAGCCAGCCAGACAACGTTAGCGCTGTGCTCCCCATACTGTCCTGTCTTTAGCCAGCCAGACAACGTTAGCGCTGTGCTCCCCATACTGTCCTGTCTTTAGCCAGCCAGACAACGTTAGCGCTGTGCTCCCCATACTGTCCTGTCTTTAGCCAGCCAGACAACGTTAGCGCTGTGCTCCCCATACTGTCCTGTCTTTAGCCAGCCAGACAACGTTAGCGCTGTGCTCCCCATACTGTCCTGTCTTTAGCCAGCCAGACAACGTTAGCGCTGTGCTCCCCATACTGTCCTGTCTTTAGCCAGCCAGACAACGTTAGCGCTGTGCTCCCCATACTGTCCTGTCTTTAGCCAGCCAGACAACGTTAGCGCTGTGCTCCCCATACTGTCCTGTCTTTAGCCAGCCAGACAACGTTAGCGCTGTGCTCCCCATACTGTCCTGTCTTTAGCCAGCCAGACAACGTTAGCGCTGTGCTCCCCATACTGTCCTGTCTTTAGCCAGCCAGACAACGTTAGCGCTGTGCTCCCCATACTGTCCTGTCTTTAGCCAGCCAGACAACGTTAGCGCTGTGCTCCCCATACTGTCCTGTCTTTAGCCAGCCAGACAACGTTAGCGCTGTGCTCCCCATACTGTCCTGTCTTTAGCCAGCCAGACAACGTTAGCGCTGTGCTCCCCATACTGTCCTGTCTTTAGCCAGCCAGACAACGTTAGCGCTGTGCTCCCCATACTGTCCTGTCTTTAGCCAGCCAGACAACGTTAGCGCTGTGCTCCCCATACTGTCCTGTCTTTAGCCAGCCAGACAACGTTAGCGCTGTGCTCCCCATACTGTCCTGTCTTTAGCCAGCCAGACAACGTTAGCGCTGTGCTCCCCATACTGTCCTGTCTTTAGCCAGCCAGACAACGTTAGCGCTGTGCTCCCCATACTGTCCTGTCTTTAGCCAGCCAGACAACGTTAGCGCTGTGCTCCCCATACTGTCCTGTCTTTAGCCAGCCAGACAACGTTAGCGCTGTGCTCCCCATACTGTCCTGTCTTTAGCCAGCCAGACAACGTTAGCGCTGTGCTCCCCATACTGTCCTGTCTTTAGCCAGCCAGACAACGTTAGCGCTGTGCTCCCCATACTGTCCTGTCTTTAGCCAGCCAGACAACGTTAGCGCTGTGCTCCCCATACTGTCCTGTCTTTAGCCAGCCAGACAACGTTAGCGCTGTGCTCCCCATACTGTCCTGTCTTTAGCCAGCCAGACAACGTTAGCGCTGTGCTCCCCATACTGTCCTGTCTTTAGCCAGCCAGACAACGTTAGCGCTGTGCTCCCCATACTGTCCTGTCTTTAGCCAGCCAGACAACGTTAGCGCTGTGCTCCCCATACTGTCCTGTCTTTAGCCAGCCAGACAACGTTAGCGCTGTGCTCCCCATACTGTCCTGTCTTTAGCCAGCCAGACAACGTTAGCGCTGTGCTCCCCATACTGTCCTGTCTTTAGCCAGCCAGACAACGTTAGCGCTGTGCTCCCCATACTGTCCTGTCTTTAGCCAGCCAGACAACGTTAGCGCTGTGCTCCCCATACTGTCCTGTCTTTAGCCAGCCAGACAACGTTAGCGCTGTGCTCCCCATACTGTCCTGTCTTTAGCCAGCCAGACAACGTTAGCGCTGTGCTCCCCATACTGTCCTGTCTTTAGCCAGCCAGACAACGTTAGCGCTGTGCTCCCCATACTGTCCTGTCTTTAGCCAGCCAGACAACGTTAGCGCTGTGCTCCCCATACTGTCCTGTCTTTAGCCAGCCAGACAACGTTAGCGCTGTGCTCCCCATACTGTCCTGTCTTTAGCCAGCCAGACAACGTTAGCGCTGTGCTCCCCATACTGTCCTGTCTTTAGCCAGCCAGACAACGTTAGCGCTGTGCTCCCCATACTGTCCTGTCTTTAGCCAGCCAGACAACGTTAGCGCTGTGCTCCCCATACTGTCCTGTCTTTAGCCAGCCAGACAACGTTAGCGCTGTGCTCCCCATACTGTCCTGTCTTTAGCCAGCCAGACAACGTTAGCGCTGTGCTCCCCATACTGTCCTGTCTTTAGCCAGCCAGACAACGTTATCTCTGTGCTCCCCATACTGTCCTGTCTTTAGCCAGCCAGACAACGTTATCTCTGTGCTCCCCATACTGTCCTGTCTTCAGCCAGCCAGACAACGTTAGCGCTGTGCTCCCCATACTGTCCTGTCTTTAGCCAGCCAGACAACGTTAGCGCTGTGCTCCCCATACTGTCCTGTCTTTAGCCAGCCAGACAACGTTAGCGCTGTGCTCCCCATACTGTCCTGTCTTCAGTCATCCTATTCAGCTTGGCTAGCTGCACAGCTGTTTGACAAAATCCTTTTACTAGTTCTTCAAATAATATTTACTTAATGAAAACTACAACTCCCTTCAGCCAAGTGTCCCACATAGTTCTTGAGTTGATTTCTTTCGTGAAGGATTTGATTTCTCTCTAGAGAAACAGCGCGTTGGGCTCACACAAAAAAAACAGAGCTAAATGGAATTCAAGTAATTGAACCGACACGTCGGTCAATGAGTTGTTTAATAACCGAAACCCCCCCCCGAAATGTCAGTTAATCTCTCAGCACTATTACTAAAGGAGAGGAGTAAAGGAGCAGAGGAATAAAGAGGTGTTGAGAGACAGATAAAGGGTGTTTGGGTGGTTTTCTTCAGTCTGTCTAGAGAGAGAGAAAGAGAATATGCAGGAAAAGAGCTGCAAAACAGGGACAGCGAACGCCTCGATCACACCTACATGCGTCATTGCGCAAAAATGGTACGCAGCATCATCTGGATATGTGTGCAACAAAAGTTCAATATTCACCTTCTGCTACCATTTCTGTCAAGCCGTCTACGCATACAGTTTGACGCATACGTTCGATAAATCCAACGTATGCACCACACAGAACGCACTGCAACTGCCTCTGCAACGCAATGCTGCAAGGCAAACGCAGCGTTCCATTGGAAATGAATGTACTTCTGGTGTACGGAAATGCAATGACGCTGTTGGTGTGATCGAGGCATAAGAACTTCAACATCCATGAAGGGTGATGGAGGCACAGTCAGTCTCATTATTTGCACACACTGTATATAGATTTTCTATTGTGTTATAGACTGTACGTTTTGTTTATCCCATATGTAACTCTGTGTTGTTGTTTTTATCGCACTGCTTTGCTTTATCTTGGCCAGGTCGCAGTTGTAAATGGGAACTTGTTCTCAACTGGCCTACCTGGTTAAATAAAGGTGAAATAAAAAAAAAATATATAATAATAATTATGTAGAAGGCTGCAGTGCACTATGAGTGGAGGAGATACAGTACTGTCTCTTTAAAACAAACTTCTACAAAAATGTTGCCTCCTAGCTAATACAGACATGACTATATTTATTTGTTTCTTTCGTTTATACAACACTACGGCTATGTAGTCTGTAAGGGCAGAGTCTCATTGGCTGCTGCAGGTCATGTGCAGTAGATGGAGGTTTCTGATTGGTTGAGGTGCTTTTCTTTTCCTGAAGGAATGATGGGAGTTTTTCATGGAGAATGATAGAGGTCTCGAGTGGCCAAAAGGTTATTTTAGCATAGGCAGCGCCATTGAGAGCTTCCACCATGCTTCAGCCATTTTACAGTAGACAAAGTAGTCAACTGGGTGGAGATTCCTATGGGTTGTAGGCTCAATGGCGCTGCCTATGCTGTCACAGACGCTATAATAGCATAGATACAAAGATGAGTCCTCTATCTATCTCTATGGAGTTTTCGCAGATATGCATCGCTGGGGAGGGGGAGAAAGGGAGGGGGAGAGAGAGAGAGGAGTCATTGGGGAGGGGGGAGGTGTTGTCCATAATGGTCCAGTGGACCCAGTAGAGGAGGAGAGAGGGGAGGAGGAGTAAGCAGAGAAAGCAGAGGAGGAGAGAGCAGAGCAGAGCAGAGCAGAGGAGAGGAGGAGTAAGCAGAGAAAGCAGAGCAGAGCAGAGGAGGAGAGAGCAGAGCAGAGGAGGAGAGAGCAGAGCAGAGCAGAGGAGGGCTATGTGTTCCTTCTTCAGTAGACCCAGGACACAGGGATCCATTGTGCGGTGGTACAGACCAGGTCTATAGCCTCCTCTAGGTGTCTGATGGTCTCATCTATCTCGTTGTTGATTATGGTCTGGTCAAAGTAATGGGCATAGGTCTTCTGGAGAATTTCTGACTCCTTCTGAAGACGCTGCAATGATTCATCCTACAGAGAGAGAGAAAGAGGGGGGGGGGAGCGAGAGAAAGAAGGGGAGGAGAGAAAGAAAGAAAGAAAGACATAATGAGACACAGACAGAGATGTCATGCCAATAAAGCAGTATTAAATTAAACGGACAGAGAAAGAGTGAGGGTATAGAGTGGATGAGTAGGGATTCAGGACAGTGCTTTGGTAGGCCTGGCCCTGGTGTCCTCAGTGAGAGGAGACTGGAGGAGAGGATTGAGCTGGTTTACTGAGGTAATATACCACACAATAGACCACTACTGACTATGGCCAGCGTTTTCTCTACTCATACTTACTGGCAGCCTCCTGCACCACCTGGGGAGCTGAGAGCCAGGCAACCGAACGCAAGAGAAACGGAAAAATAGAAGCTCACAAACACAGCATGCAAAATAAACCAGTGAAGAAAGTGATGAGAGAAGAAAAAGAAAATGGCGGAGTGCAGAAAAAAGAAGAGTGCCAATAGAGTACCACAGTATGAGTCATGATACCCATAAAACATAGCGGTCAAACAAGGAAATGGTTCCAATAGTTTTTCCACCATTCATTTTTCCCATAGGGGATTTTAGAAACACTTAAAATAAGGACTGTGTTTCGTGTAGGCTTACCCTGGCGTGACGTTTTGATAACCGTGTAAATCTCTCTAGGACAAGGTGACTTTTATCAATATATTTGCCTGTATTTACCCCCCAAAAATGAAATGCTAATTAGCTGCTAATGTGGCTATCATAAAGAACTACAAATGCCATGATGATCTGGACAAAACTGCCGAATCGAGGCAAAGGTAAGGATCTCTGGATTAACTATCTAATGTTAGCTAAATGTAGTAATTAACAAATTGGATACATTTCTTTAAATTGACAATGCTGTGAACTGTCTTATGCAAGTTTTAAATTGACACAATACATGTGTCAGCAAATGTGTCAGCTAGAGATGACGTGCAGGAGCTTGCAGGGATTTGTAGTTTTGCATGCTAATTAGCATTTTCGAATCTGAGATAAATGGATAAATATTGATTAAAGTCACCTTGTCCGAGAGAGATTTACATGGTTATCAAAACTTCACGCCAGGGTAAACCTACACGAAACACAGCCCTTATTTTAAGTGTTTTTTAAATTCCCTATGTGAAAAATGAATGGGGAAAAATTATTGGAACCATTTCCCTGTTTGAGCGCTAGGTTTTATGGGTATTATGACACCTCCAATGTGGGGCTCTATAGCTGCAGTGTCCCAAGTTGACTGTGTGTGTGTGTGTGCGTGTGCGTGTGCCTGCGTGTGAGTGAGTATGTTACCTCGTCGATGCCAGGGGTAATGGTTGGCGCGGCGATGAAAACAACGTAGGGAGCGAACTCTGCTGTCCGCAGGACCTTCAGGGCCTAATGGAGAATAGGTTACAGGTCAGCTGGGCTGTTTGTATGGGAGAAGACCTGCCTGAGAAGACCCTCAGCTTTCACAAGCACACATGACAAAACATCTAGATTCTTTATCATGTTTTGCTCACACCGTAGAGATATATGGAGGACTCTAGTGCCTAGAAGCCTGTTTTAGCATGGGCAGCGCCATTGAGGACTTTCACCATTTTTAAGTAGTCAACTGGGTGGGACTTCCTATGGGTTAAGGAAGGATCACATGATTCCATCCAGGTCATCAGGTGGGATCATCCAATGAATTATACTCATGAGCAAACATTCCATAACTGCAGGTGGCAGTAAATCGCCAACCTTGGCTTTATACCTGTTCAAACAGTACACTCCAGGTGGCAGTATGCACCCTTTCAGTTTGTTTGCCAACTCATAGAAGTAGTAGAAGAAGAAAATGTCCTACTTCAAGATAGAGATGGCCTCAATGGTGCTACCCATTCTCTCACAGACACCATAATGAAACATACAATGTTGTGTCCTCTAACTGTCTCTATGGTTCACACAAACACACACCTCCCATAAACACACACACATACACACACACACACACACACACACACACACACACACACACACACACACACACCTCCCATAAACACACACACATACACACACACACACACACACACACACACACACACCTCCCATAAACACACACACATACACACACACACACACACACACATACACATACACACACACACACACACAAACACACACCTCCCATAAACATACACACACACATACATACACACACACACACACACACACACACCTGTGGCTCTACGTCCAGTATGGAGATGAGTCCCTGCTCGTGGATCTGGCGGAGGGTCTCTAGCCGCGTGCCGTACATGGCGTCCTCGTGACTACCGTACTCCAGGTAGTCATTGTTACTGATGTCCTGCATCATCTGGTCATGTGACACAAAGTAGTAGTTCTTCCCGTTTTCCTCGTCCTTCTTAGGAAGTCTGGTCGTATCTGGGGGAGGGAGGGAGGGAGGGAGGGATGGAAGAGAGGAGGAGTGGGTCGGGGGGGGGGGGGGGGGGACGATAATCAAACGAGTAAAGTGTCTTTTTGGACTGGCCCCCCGGAAGGGTTTTTAAAAGGGCCCCGCCCCCCGGGTTGCCGGGGGGGGGGGGAAAAAATGGGGGGGGGGGGGGGGGGGGGGGGTTCCCTTTCGTGACAAAACGTTTTACCCCCAAGGGGTGGGCCCCCCTTTTTTTTTTTTTGGGGTTATAAATTGTCGGGGGGATCCCCCTGGCATGGGGGGGGGGCACAAAGGGTGGGGAATTTTGGGGGGGTTTTTTATGTTTTCTTGAGTGTCTTTTTTTGGGGGAAAAGAGAGATGAAAAATTCCCCCGGCCCCAAATAAATTTTCCCCAATGGGGGAAAATTTTTGATTATAAAAAGTTGTTTTCCTCTTGACCGGGGGAAATTTTTTTAGGAAATTTTGGGTAAAAACTGGGGGGGGGGGGGGTAGTAAATTAGGGGGAAAGGGAAACACCCTGTTTCTTCGGGGGACACCGGGTAACGTAGGTTTGGGTGTTTGCCTTAGTTAAAGGGGAGGCAATCCGGGGTTTGGTGTTTTGAAACCCCCTTTTTGGTGTAATAAAAGGGGCAAAAGAAAAAAAGCCCCCTAAAAAATTTAAGGAAACCTTTTTTCTGCAAAAGTTATTGCCCAAAAAAAATGCAGGGGGAGAAAATTACCTTTAAAAAACTATGTTTTTACCAAGGGAAAACCAAAACCCCCTTATCGTTTCCCGGGGATTTTTTGACATAAAACAAAAAAAGAGGAGGATTTTTTTAAAAGGGGGGGTAAAGCCCAACCAAATAATAGGAGGAATTTTGGGAAACACAGGACACAAAGGTGGAGAAATTTTTTTTTTTCCTTTGTTGATTGGGCCCTTTTTAAAACTGGGGTAACATTTGAGGGGAGGAAGAAAAGGTAAAAAAACCCAGGTACCCGGGCGGGGGTGACATTTTGTCGCCTGTTTTTGGGGCCCAAAGACTGGGTTTCCGGAATAAACCCGTTTTTAACAAAAAGTTTAGCATCTCCTTCCTGTTTAAAGAAAAACCGTATGCCCCTTTGGAACATAAATTTAAAAGTAAACATTTATTTTTGGAAAACATTTGAATTTAAAAAAGGTTTTGGTATAATGTTAAAAGAAAGATTGGAGAAACGGCGTGGCCGATTGCCCCACCCTTGGGTGTCGTAACAAGCATAAAAAAATACCTTACCCTCTGAAAATCACGTTTGCTGAAAAAAACTGGTTGCAGGAAAAAAAACCCCTTTTTTCTTTCTTTTGGGTTTCTCCCTTCTCTCCCCTTTCCCCTCCTCTTTTTCCCTTTTTCTTTTTTTTTTTTTTTGGTTTTTTTTTTTTCCCACCCTTTTCCCCTTCTTCCCCTTTTCCCTTCCCCTCCCCCTTTTCCTCCTCTCCCCCTCCCGTTTCCCCTTTTTCCCCTCCCCCCCCCTCCTCCTCTCTTAAAAAAATTTCCTCTCTCCTCTCTCTCTCTCTCCTCTCTTTTCCCCCTCTTCTCCCTCTCTTTTCTTTCTCTCTCTTCTCTTTCCTCTCTTTCCTCCTCTCTCCTTTCCTCCCTCCCCTTTCCTCTCCCCTCTCTCTCCTTCCCTCCCCTCTCTCTCCTTCCTCTCTCTTTCTCTCTTCAAATGGAAGACAGCCACTCTCCCCTGCTTCCTTGCGTTCTGTTCCCCATTGGCGGCATTTTCCTTGCCCTTGTGCCGCCCTTTATTTGTGGGGCAATTTTCACAATGACACTCAGGGATATAAAAGGGGGGACTCTTTTCTGAGGCATAGTATGGTTAAATTTAAACTAACACATCAAAAACAAAAACCCCCAAAAAAAACTAAATTTTGGGGTGAGGATAAAACCCAAAACACACAATGAAAATACAAAACCCAAACTGAAAGCTTGTTTTTTCCATTTTGTGCTGGATCTCTTTGCTCTGAGCATGGAACGGAAAAAAACGGAACATTGGGGGTAGTGTGACAATAGTGTTTTTTGAGGCGGTTCTTTTTTGGGTTATTGTTAAAAATAATCCGGTTTTCAATTTTTGGGTTTCGATTATTGGTTGAATGCTGAACAACACAAAAAAAAAATTAAAAAAAGTCCCATGAGGGTAGTGATGCCCCATTACTGCTTATCACTTTTTTAAACCCAAATTTTTTCACATCCTTTCTTAAAAAATTTTCATTTTGGGTTATATTACTTTAGTTTTTTTATGATTTTATTATTTCTTCCAAAGTCTACTCATCTCTATGCGTCTGACAAAATCACCCTTTTTTAGTTCTTCAAAATAAATAGACATATTTATATCTAAAACCAACATGAAATCATTAGATCATGTTTTTAAGATACCTCAGAAGCAAAAGTGCTCTCTTTTCCCCTCACGATCAGGGATTCTTCTGCCTCTTTGTAGCGGCATAAAAGAACACAGCCGGACAATAGATCACAAGGGTTGGGCATTTAGTTAATTACCCGTTTATGGGCCCCAAAAATTGTAGAAAATCGGCCTGTTGGAAAATACAAATCCTACTACATGCACAGTCAGGGTGGGTCGATTTCCTAGAGAAAAAATGTGCAATTGGCATTGAGCTCACGAAAAAATTGGAAAAATGCAATTTAAATAATTAACCGCATCATTTTAATTCGTTTTTTTTTTTCCAAAAATTTTAACATTTCGGTTAAACGTCACACAGAGGATGCAGCTGGGAAATGAAGGGTTATAATCGCAATAAAAAAATTGGGGAAGAGAGACACCAGAGGAGCGAAAGAGAGAAAGGGGAGAGAAGAGAGAGAAGAAAAAGGGGAGAGAAAAAGAGAAAGAAAAAAGGGGGGGGGGAAAAAAGAAGAGAGAAAAAGAAAAAAGGGGGTTGGGAAAAAAGAGAAAGGGGAAGAGAAGGAGCAGAGAGAACACCAGAAGGGGAAAAAGAGGGGAGAGAGGAAATTTGAGGGGGGAAAAGGAGGGGAGAGAAACAAAGAAAAGAACAAGAGAACCCCAAAAAAGGACAAGAAGACAAGAAGAGAGTCAAAACCAACCAAAAGAGGGTTAGCTGCCAACTGTCACGTTTTTACTTACAGCAGAGAGGCCCCCTTTGGGGGGGGACACCTGGGGGCAGGGCTAACATGGTTTTAGTTAACAAAATATGCGACCATAGATCAGCAAAAACAAAAATACAAACCGAACAGCAAACCCGAGCCTGTTTAATTATCACCCACGGGTGGATGAAGTTTCTTTCCCAAAAATTGTCAAGGCCGTTTTTTGTATTTTAAGGTTAGGATTTGGGGGGGGTATACGACCCGACCTTAATCGTATGGTTAAGGGAACTTCTACCCAGAGGTCACATTCTGGCCCCTTGGGAGGTAAAGTAGGAATGAAGCATCTTTATAGAGTTCAAACGGGACCTGGAGTCATAGGCCTCATACTGTGAACATGCTACCAGCTATCCACCACATCACCTTCCATTCTCTCACATGCTGCCAGCTATCCACCACATCACCTTCCATTCTCTCACATGCTGCCAGCTATCCACCACATCACCTTCCATTCTCTCACATGCTACCAGCTATCCACCACATCACCTTCCATTCTCTCACATGCTACCAGCTATCCACCACATCACCTTCCATTCTCTCACATGCTGCCAGCTATCCACCCACATAAACCTTCCATTCTTCACATGCTACCAGTATCTACCACATCACCTTCCATTCTCTCACATGCTGCCAGCTATCCACCACATCACCTTCCATTCTCTCACATGCTGCCAGCTATCCACCACATCACCTTCCATTATCTCACATGCTAACCAGTATCCCCACATCACCTTCCATCTCTCACATGCTCCCAGCTATCCACCACATCACCTTCCATTCTCTCACATGCTACCAGCTATCCACCACATCACCTTCCATTCTCTCACATGCTGCCAGCTATCCACCACATCACCTTCCATTCTCTCACATGCTACCAGCTATCCACCACATCACCTTCCATTCTCTCACATGCTACCAGCTATCCACCACATCACCTTCCATTCTCTCACATGCTACCAGCTATCCACCACATCACCTTCCATTCTCTCACATGCTACCAGCTATCCACACATCCCCTTTCCATTTCTCACATGCTCCCAAAGCTATCCACCACATCACCTTCCATTCTCTCACATGCTGCCAGCTATCCACCACATCACCTTCCATTCTCTCACATGCTGTACCTGATGACAATGAGACTACATTTAACATCAGGCTATGTGTCATGCAGGGAACACAGTAGGAGTGACTCAGATATGAATGAGATATGAATGCTTAAGAGAGCAAGCTAGAAATGTATAGCAACCTAATAACATGCTTTGCTGTTACTGGGAGAAGCAATATGAACACTGACAGCTGGTTCTTTACACCTACAGCGGGAATGCATCTCTGGTATCATGCACTTGTACCGATGCAAGAACAAATGGATTACAGCATGGTATACTACAGGTACATGCTTAAATGACTGGTATTGTTGTAGCCTGCCAAGAAGTGATAACCATTACCCCCCATAAACCCGGAAAACCACACAAACCCTTAAACCCCCAGAAAATAACCCTTACACCAGAGAACCCGGGACACCAAGACGAAAACCCGGGAACCAGCCAGGGCGAAAACCCGGGGCACCACAAAGAAACCGGGGAAACCAGGCAGACAACCGGACCAGCCAGACGAACCGGGACAGCCAACGAAACCGGGACCAGCCACACGAACCGGACCAGCCACACGAACCGGGACAGCCAGGACGAAACCGGACCAGCAGAAGAAACCCGGGACCAGCCAGGAGAAAACCCGGGGAACCCGGGGCCCGACGAACCGGGACCAGCCAGACGAACCAGCCCGAAAGAACCCGGGAAAGCCAGAAAGAACCCGGGACCAGCAACAAACCGGCAGCGACAACCGGGACCAGCCAGACGAAAACCCCGGGACCACCAGACGAACCCGGGCCCAAGCCAGACGAACCCGGACCAGCCACACAAACCCGGGCAGCCAGACGAACCCGGGACCAGCCACACGAACCCGGACCAGCCAGACGAACCCGCAAGACAACCCGGGCCCACCCACACGAACCCGGGACCAGCCAGGCGAACCCGGGACCAGCCAGACGAAACCCGGGACCAGCCACACGAACCCGGACCAGCCAGACGGAACCCGGGCCCAAACCACACAACCCCGGACCAGCCAGACGAACCAGCCAGACTAACCCGGGACCAACCACACAAGCCTGGACCAGCCCACGAAGCCCGCACCACCATACAAACCCGGCCCACCAGACGAACCCGGAACCAGCCAGACAACCCGGAACCAGCCAGACAACCGGACCAGCCACACGAACCCAGCCACACGGAACCCGGGACCAGCCAGACAAACCCCGGGGACCCCCAAACCAAACCCCGGGGGGACCAGCCACACGAACCCGGGGACCAGCCAGACAAACCCGGACACCCACCCGAACCGGGACCAGCCACACGAACCCGGGACCAGCCAGACGAACCCGGACCAGCCACACGAACCCCGGGGACCAGCCACACGAAGCCGGGCCCAGCCACACGAACCCGGGACCAGCCAGACGAACCCCGGGACCAGCCAAGAACCCGGGACAGCCACACGAACCCGGGACAGCCAGACGAACCCGGGACCAGCCAGACAAAACCCCGGGACCAGCCAGACGAACCCGGACCAGCCAGAGAACCCGGGCCCAAGCCAGACGAACCCGGACCAGCCAACGAACCCGGGACCAGCCGACGAACCCGGGACCACCCAGGAAAACCCGGACCAGCCAAAAGAACCGGGACCCATCCATAGAACCCGGGACCAGCCAGACGAACCCGGGACCAGCCACACGAACCCGGACCAGCCCACGAACCCGTGACCAGCCAGACAACCCGGACAAGCCACACTAAGCCGTTGTACCATCCACACGAGCCTGCACCAACCCTACAACCCTGTACCATCCAACAACCAGAACCACCAGACGAACCCGTAACCAGCCAAACGAACCCGGGGCCAGCCACACGAACCCAGCCACACGAACCCGGACCAGCCGGGCGAACCGGAACCAGCCAGACGAACCCGGAACAGCCAGACGAACCCGGGGCCAGCAACACGAACCCCGCCACACGAACCCGGGACCAGCCACACGAACCCGGGGCCAGCCACACGAACCCGGGACCAGCCAGGACGGAACCCGGGTACCAGCCAGACGAAACCCGTGACCAGCCAGACTGAACCGGGGACAGCCAGGACGAACCCCGGGACCTAGCCCGGACCGAACCCGGAACCAGCCAAGAACGAGACCCGGGGACCAGCCCACAAGAAGCCCCATCCAGAAGAGACCCGGAACCACACAGGACGAACCCGGGAGGGGGGGCCGCCCACACGAACCCGTACACAGCCACACGAAACCCAGCCACACTAACCCTGGACCAGCCAGACGATACCCTGGCCCAAGCCAGGACGAACTCCGGAACCAGCCTGGATCTAACTCCGGGACCAGCCAGAAGAACCACTGGACCAGCCATACGAACCCTGTACCAGCCAGACGAACCCGGTTGACCAGGCCAGCACGAACCCGGTTACCATCCATACTAACCCCACCTTACAGTCTGTCTATGTCCACAGACCGACCTACCCCCCCACCCACCAACCCACCCACCCAACCCCACCCCCCACCCACACACCACACACACACACACACACCAACACAACACCCACACACCCACACACACCACACACACACACACACACACACACACACACACACACACACACACACACACACACACACACACACACACACACACACACACACACACACAGAGCTGCTTCCAGTACGTGAGTCATCTCTTTAAATGCCAACCTGCTCCATATCTGAGCTTGCCCTTGCGCCCCAGCACCAGGTCTCCCTGCTATTTCTGGCATGACTGTGTCACTGGAGCCAGTGGAGGTTTCAAGGGTCTGCTACCTGAATTCCCTGCTCTCGCTGTCCTCCCTGCCCCCACATTCCCTGACCACCTCTCCCTTGTTCCTTGACCACACCTCCCTCTCCATCATCCCCCATGCCACCTTCTCACACGTGAGGCCCTCACATTCCATGCAGTAACAGCTGAGGAACATTCTGACTGCACGACTGTGTACTGTACTGTACGGTGTGTGCACATGGGAATGTGTGTGTGTGTGTACCTGCGTTGTGCTTGGCCAGGTACTTGTCTTTGTACTGTTTCTTCTTCTTGCCAAACCAGGTACAGCTGGCCTGCTGCTCCTGCTTGGTCTTCTCCATGGCGATACACGCCACACGCCTGCAAACATGACCGGAAATACACACAATGAGAGCTAAACTAAATCACCTGCTCAAACATTCTAGACATTTTGAGGGGTTCTTTGAGTGTGCGTTCTGGTTTTCTCTAAATCTGGATTCTGTGTGTGTTAAGTTACTCGTCTCTAGTTGGCCAGGTGGTTTCTAAGTCTGAATGACTCTCTCTAGATATTGATGGAGATCTGGGTTCTATCGCTGTGTGTGTGTCTCCTCACCACTCCTGGTGTTCTGGTGTTCAGTGTGTGTGTGTGTGTGTGTGTGTGTATAGGTGTCTCCTCACCACTCCTGGTGTTCAGTGTGTGTGTGTGTGTATGTATGTGTGTGTGTGTGTGTGTGTGTGTATAGGTGTCTCCTCACCACTCCTGGTGTTCTGGTGTTCAGTGTGTGTGTATGTATGTGTGTGTATGTGTGTATGCATGTGTGTGTGTGTGTATAGGTGTCTCCTCACCACTCCTGGAGTTCTGGTGAGGGTATGAGCCCTGCGGTGGAGTTCTTAGTGTTCTCCAGTTTTCCCTGCCACCAGTTGTGGTCGTCTTTACTGATGATCTGGATGATGTCACCGACCCGGAAGGGAATCCCAGCCTCCTTGCAGGGTATGAGGTCATCTCTGGAGGGGTCATACTCAAACTGGGCCCTCACATAGATCTGAGACACACAGACAGGAGTCAGCTAGAGGTCAAGATGGAGTGGGGGGAATGAGTCACTGATTAGGGAGAGGGGGAGGGAGAGAGAAAGAGGGAGGGAGAGAGAGCGAGGGAGGGAGAGGGAAAGAAAGGGAGGACGGAGAGAGAGCGAGAGAGAGAGAGACAGAGAGAGAAAGAGAGCGGTTGTGTTGAGGAGATGGGATGTGCAATATTTCCTGTGATGCCCAGTTGCCAGGTTGGAGACCCGGAGAGGGAGGAGTGGCGTGTGGCTGTACAGACCAATGGGTTGCCAGATCGGAGACCTTTCCCTATGGGTAATTCTACCTCACGGGGGACACTCAAAGAAATAGCTGTGTGCTATAAATGAGCCTCTCAGTCCAGTTGCCAGGTTGGAGACCTGGAGAGGGGGGAGTGGCGTGTGGCTGTACAGACCAATGTGTTGCCAGGTTGGAGACCTTTCCCTATGGGCTGTGTGTATGTGGCTGCCTGGTAGTACCTCATAGGGGAATACAAAAGTTGTGGTATAAATTAGCATCTCTCTTCAGAGGTAGTA